ATCTACATTACTGTGCAGTATGTCAGTCCTACAGCCATTTGGGAAAATAGCTTGGTGGGTCTTTCAAAGTTAAGATACACTTATCAGTAAACAATCTATGATTACAAAATTACTTCTATCCTTTGGAAGTCAACATGTATGGCGGTACAGGCCAGAAGGAACAACTTCTATGTTCCACAGCCCAGTGTGAGGACTGTGGTTGACAAAAACTAAGGCTATGTTTCAAAATTGCCAGCGGAGGGAATTTGTAATACTTCCAACAGAAAGAAATCCTATTTGAGGTGGCAAGTGCCAGCTGTTCTGTCTTCTCACCACACATTAATGCAAGTACCAAGGCATCGCCTGTACCTCATAATTATGTACAGTTCTTCTGCATCAATTAAACACTTTCAATTAGATAAAAAAAAAAGTAGAAAAAATACATCATTTGAATAACAAATTTCCCCATAATGAATTGATTCTATAGAAAACAGCGTTCAAGTGTATAACATTTAATGTACTGGATGCCTAATAAGTAATTATTTATAATTATAGATTCTCAAGCAAATATGATAGGAAATTAGTTTTATAAATGTGTAAATGTTCCTGCAACCTATATAACTGCATTATCTTCATCTATTAAAATGGTATTATGGAAGACTAATATCAGTCATGTAAAAAATGTTCAGGTGTAAAAAGGGAAAGTGTAGTAAGATCATTTTAGAAAATTAACAAAATTACTCATGAAGACAGGAGTAGATACATATGAAGACTGTCATAACAGTAGCTTTCTTTTATATTAGTAGTACTTAAATTTCTAAAGTGAATTTCTTTACTTCAAAGGATTATTTTACATTGTGTATCTGCCTGTGTCATCCTTTGGTGCACAGTAACTGAGGATAATGATCTTTCTGCCTCTGAGAGTCTGCAGGTCAATTATGGACACAGTGTCTGCTGACTATATGATCTGCTATCTGTCTCTGAAGCCCATGGTGGACTTCTGATGCATTCATCTCCAATGTGGAAGACAACGAGTAACATGTGATTAATAAATGTGGTAACTAGAAATAATGGACAAAACATTTGTGCTGATGGATGGTCCACCAAAAATACTCTGATGACAAGTAACATATGTCAACATTCTCACTTTTAAAGCCCATCTTTAAAGAAATACAAATTAAAACCACAATAATACACCAGTTTATATCTATTAAGATGACTAAAGAATGTGATGTGAGAATACTGAATATTGGCAAGAAACACTTGGGGATTGTATACATTTTCTAGTTTTGTTATGGGTTAAGAATTTTGAAAATCCTTGGTACTTCAGCATAGA